GCAAGGTTCTTACAGGAGAATGGCATAGTAGCCTAGTATTCTACACCGGGCAAACCTCAACAGAATAGAGTAGCTGAAAGACGCAATTGTACCCTGATGGATATGGTGCGCAGTATGATAAGTTACTCCACCTTACAGTTGAGCATGTGGATGGAGGCGTTAAAAACCGCCATTCATATTATCAATAGAGTATCAAGTAAGTCGGTGCCCAAAACACCGTATGAGTTGTGGACAGAAAGAGTACCCTCACTAAACCACTCACGTGTGTGGGAGAGTCCTGCTGAGGCTAAAGTATTTAACACAAACATTGGGAAGCTAGATCCAAAATAGTTAGTTGCCATTGCATTGGCTATCCAGAAAAGTCAAAAGGTTTTTGTTTTTACTGTCTAGACAGACATACAAAGTTTATGAAAACGAGACACGCTATCTTCCTAGAGGATGAAATGATGAGGGGGAGCATGGTAGCTCGAGAAATTGACCTTGAAGAGAAGCGGGTGTATGCGCCCACTCCGATGATTCATGAGCCATTTTTCTCACTATTTGCTGTCACTGCACCGATAGTGCAAGATACTGTGGTGCCAGCACCTGTTGTTATTCCGCCTGTGGCAACAATGAATGACGACGAGGAACCTGTTCTTCAGGATCCTGTAGAAACTGTTGCCACACACGAGGAGGAGCAACAACATCCTCAAACAGAAGATGTGCCAAATGTGGAGGCCCCTAGAAGGTCTCAAAAAGTTAGAAAATCAGCTATTTCTACTGACTATGAAGTATACAACACTGAGAAATTTTAAATAGAGGATGATCCCACCTCATTTAAAGAAGCCATGAGAAGTGACCATTCATTAAAGTGACTTGAGGCCATGGAAGATGAAATGAAATCTATGAATGTCAATAAAGTTTGGGACTTGGAAATAATTCTTAAAGGAGCTAAAATAGTAGGCTGTAAATGGGTCTACAAAACAAAACTTGACTCTCAAGAGAATATAGAGAGATATAAAGCGCGACTTGTGGCAAAAGGCTTTACGCAAAGAGAAGGGATTTATTATAATGAGACCTGTTTTCCAATCTCATGTAAAGATTCCTTTAGAATTATAATGGCATTAGTGGCACATTACGATTTAGAATTACATCAGATAGATGTAAAGACGGTATTTCTCAACGGGGACTTAGAGAAAAATGTTTACATGGCACAACCAAAGGGTTTTGTCATAGAAGGAAAAGAACGAATGGGATGCCGCCTAAAGAAATCCATTTATAGATTAAAACAAGCTTCAAGATAGTGGTATTTGAAGTTTGATAAGAAAATAAGGAATTTTGGGTTTAAAGAGAATGTTGAGGACAATTGTGTCTATGCAAAGTTTAAGAATAGGAAGTTTGTCTTCCTTGTCCTGTATGTGGACGATATCTTACTTACAAATAGTGATGTCAGTCTACTACTGGAGATAAAGAAGTTTTTGTTCTCAAAATTTGATATAAAAGATCTTGGTGAAGCCTCGTTCGTTCTAGGGATCGAGATTCATCGAGATAGAAGTGAAGTGGTATTAGGACTGTCACAAAAGGCATACATAAAAAGGATCTTAAAGAAATTCAGTATACACAAATATAGTCCCTCACCTGCTCCTATAGTCACGGGTGACAGATATGGGGATTTTCAATGCCCCAAGAACCAATATGAGATCGATCAAATAAAAGCGGTTCCATATGTTTCAGCTATCGAAAGCTTGCAATATGTTCAAGTATGTACGCGCCCTGACTTGGCTTTTGTTACTAGGTTACTTGGCAGATTCCAGAGCAGTCCTGGAACAGAACACTGAAAATTAGTAATGAAAGCCTTGCGTTATTTGCAAGGAACGAAAAGCCTCATGATGATGTATAGAAGATCTGATTCACTCCATATAGTGGGATATTCAGATTCTTATTATGCGGGAGATGATAGAAAATCCACGTATGGATATGTATTCACTCTCGCAGGATCTGATTATGCAGGAGATGATAGAAAATTCACGTATGGATATGTATTCACTCTCGCAGGGGGAGCTATTTCATGGAAAAACTCAAAGCAAACCGTCACTACATCGTCCACAATGTATGCCAAGTTTGTAGCGTGTTATGAGGCAACGGGACAGGTGAACTGGCTAAAGAAGTTCATACCCGGTTTGAAGGTGGTCGACGACATCTACAGACCACTTAAGTTATACTACGATAATAATCCGGCAGTACAGTATGCTTACAACAATAAGTCAAGTGATGCTGCCAAACACATTGACATAAAATATTATGTTGTGAAAGATAAAGTCCAGGATCATGTCATAAGTCTTTAACATATAAGTACCGAAAAGATACTCGCGGATCCGCTTATAAAAGGCTTACCACCCAACGTGTTCAGAGAACATGTAGCCGGCATGGGTTTAAGGGAAAGCCTATAATTTCTGAATAAAAGAAGGTCCAAAGTTAAGTATCTATTTCAGAACAGAGTGATGTGTTGTAGCTGTTAAATCTATCGGCAATAGACCGTGACGATGAAACATGCTCTATGCGCTAATCTGTAATGGAATGAACAAAAGTAAATGATATAAAATTGAAATTGAAAGATGATAGAAAATCAATGGGGAGATTGTTAGATTGATCTCTAATTCCAAACTGGGCCCAACGGCCTAGTTGGGCCTTTGATCCGCGCCCTGATCGGGGGCGCCCAACCCACTATGGCTGGAGGGCCCCTGTCACACTGCGCAATAAATAGAGGTAGGGACCAGCGGCTGAAGTCACGAGGTTTGCCTAAGCCGAGCTCCCCACCGAAACCTAAACCCTAATCTGATCTAGAGGGGGCGCAGCCAGTGACAGAAAGCCACCAGCCACACCGCCCCGCTCCACCGACGTCGATGGCTTCATCGACCTCTTCCCCGAACGTCGCTGTCCGTGCGCAGACTTCACCGACGAACGAGATGACGGACTCTGGACCATCACCCTCTGCGGTATCAAGTTCGACACGTCCTTCTTCTACTCCACCCCTCTCTGTCTCTCTCGTTCTATCTACGGTTACTGCACTAGTAGATATTCTAGAGCTTAATTGAATCAAAGGCATACACCCTCGGATCGACACCTAGAAGATCCTCATTTTCTATCAACACCCTCCCCTTGGCAGTCCAGAGCAATGAAGCCCCAGGACCCAATCTTCGACGATGGGCAATAAGCCCCATCAAAGTTGATCTTCAGCCAATCACCCTCGGGAGCTTTCCAGGCACTTGCATTGTTTCTGCTGATCACCGTTCTAATCTCCACGCCTTTTCTCTGATCCTCTAACATGGCGAGGACGTCTCTGATCACCACTGAGCACGACAGTTGTTGCTCCCCAGGATTCACTTTGTTTCTCATACCCCACCATCTCCATAGTAGCAGAAATATTTTGGAATTCAGATCCTGTTCGAAGATCGACACCTTCGACGAACTCCCTCGAGTTTTCCTTTGCTAGCAGTATTCCCCGTATATGTTCTAAATTCAGATTCCTCCAGCATTGCAGCACGCCTTTGCACTTCAAAAAACAGTGGCCTCCTCCATCAAACCTCAGACAAATCGGGCACCTTGTATCTAGATCAGAGGGTTGAGTTCGAGGATGTGCAGAGTCTTGCTGATGGTCAGGTGAAACATTCGGCTGAAGTATTTTATGCAGGCTCTCTGTAGAAGGTTAGCTGTGTTGTCTTAAATCTATCCATTCCTCTAATGGCCTACCAGTTAAGTACTGTAATCGGTATACACATTGATAACTAGTGGGCTGAGTCACTGTCTCATGGACAGACAGGTTGCACCCAAATGATCAGCAGACTCCAATGTGCATCCCTGCGCTCTATGGCAATTCAGAACCCGATTGAACTGTCTTTTTTTTAACCTCAGTTAAGGTAGAAAAAGAATAGTTTCAAGTACAGAAGCCGATTTTACTGTCACCCGCATTCTCCTCTGCGTTCCTTCTCACCACACGGTCACAAGCACCATAAAGGACGTAAACTCTGACCCGAACATCTTCAGAGAGTGTCCACAGAGCTGCCGACGCGATCCTCTGCTAATTGCTGCACACCAATTGGTATCTGACATTGTGACTGTCAACTTAACTGCCAAAACTAATGAATTAGGCTTGCACCACGTTCACCAACGCACAAGTTTAGACATGAAAGCAAAATGCATAAAACACACATACATACATACTCATGGCGAGTTGCAGAAAACGCGAGTTGCATATAGTGGATGAAGCTTGTGACCTGGGCCAAAACCATGAAACACCAAGAGCACGCCCAGAGGTGGCCGCCGCGTCCTCGACTGCTGCAAGCCGACTCGCACCCGCACGCCGCCGCCGCATCCTTGCCTGCTGCAAGCCGACTCGCGCTGCCTGCCTCAAGCCGCCTCGCGCCCGCACGCCGCCGCCTCCCCAATCCCCTCTCAATCGCCCCCTCCCCGAAAGGCCGAAACCTTGCTAGCGATTAGCCGATCGTCATCGCAAAGGCCCAGCCAGGTCGGTGCGACGGTTATTTCTCCCTCCAGAATCCAACGGAAACAGAGAACAAAAACCTCCCGCTGCGCCGCGCAGGTGTTCGACGGAATTCCTCGCCCCACCTCCCCCACCGAATCCCGGCCACCGCCTCCTCCATCCTGCCCGTCCCCTCTCCTTCTCTCCCCAAGACACCGAATAAAACCAGAGCCCCCCTCCCCTTCTCTCTCGCTAGGCTCGCACATCCAATTTGCCCCCCCAAACCCGACATCAACTCCCCCACCCGTCCCTTCAGCCAAGAAACCATGTCTTAACGTTCCTTCGGCACGTCACGGCGTAACGTGCGGCCCTATATCCAGCGTTGAAACATCATCCAATGGCTGCCAACTATCTCCCACAAGATACTTTAGTTTTCCTCCATGAAGCTGGGAGGGAGTGGCTGCTCGTTGGCGCGCGCCGCGCTGGTTTTCGGCGGGCTGCGTTGACCCACTCGCGCTGCTCGCCATGACGCCATGCAGGGATGACTTTGTCCGCGGCTGCTCATCGGGCACCTCTTTCGGAGGCCATCTTCGCCAACCTGGCCACCAGATTAACGGGTGATGCCCAGCTGCTCCTGCTTTCGGACGTCAAGCCGGTGCCCCTGCGCAGCCGATGGAGATGGCGGCCTGCGGCTTCAGATGGCGCTGGGCGGACATCCAGGATGGAGCGGCTCCTGGCGGCCACCATCTCGTCGCCGGAGCCCATGCTACCGGTGCATATCGCCAAGGGCGGCGAGGTAACACTTAAGGTTCTTTTGTGCTTGTTAATATCTCCACAATGTGCAAGATGAATGGTTGACTTGGTAAGTTGAGTTCAGATTGAGTTCTGCTTGTTAATATTTGAGGTAGACATGTAAATTGATTGGGGGTGTTTATGAACTTGCACCTAAGTAGGACTTGGTAGACTGAATTCTAGTGATCTGCAATGAAATTTGTGTGCAGCTATAGGATGAACACAAAAAAATAAATGTAGCTGCTATGATTTTATTATTGGCCGTCGACTTTAATAACCGGGTGACACATTGTTTTCTGGTGGAATTAGCTTTGTTGCTTGTTAGTAACTGTACAATGTGTTATGTTAGCATGACATGCAATTTAAATTGGGCGAGTATGAACTTGAACAAACCGTGTGGCTTGGTAGTTTGAATTGCAGTGGTCTTTAGTGAAATTTGTGTTAATGGTAAGCAGGGCTAGTAGTTCAGTGTTGTTTGGCTCTGGCTTATTCATGCTGATCTTTGCAGAAGGAGCTGATTGATAAGCGGCAAATCATGTACGCCATGGCAGCCGCGTTGCCAGTGTCTCTTCTGGCTTCAGCTGCGGGCGTCCACGTCTTCGCCGGCCGAGGGGCTTGGGTAGCCGGCGCGGGTGTCTGTGTGTGGACCATTTTGAGTGCAGGAATGGTGCTTAATCAGTACGGGAAGCTCAACTGGGAGCTGCTGGCGGCCAGGCATCTGAACCGGGTGTGCTTGTTGGGATGCGCCGTACTACTTTCTTTCTATGCCTTCAGAGCTTACTTCCCTTCTGAGACATGGGCGGCTCCTCATCGGGATAGCTGTGACGGTCCTTGGCGTCCCGTGGGTCATGGTGAGCTTCTTCTCTGATCGGCCTACATACCTTCCATGCATGCCTTTCAATGTTCTGCATGCACTGAAATACATAAGTCTGCCTTTTCCATCTAACCAACGTTCAATTGCTGCCATTGCAGAGTATCGTCAGAGCGGACGACATCATCACTGGAGATGCTGATTTGGCGGAGAGGGCCGGCAAAACGACGGGCAAAAGACCTAAGCTGATGCGCAAGCGCGCTCCATTCTCTTTGCGCGGATCTCACTGGGGTCGCCGAGATGTAGGGATGAATGAACAAGAAAACAGGGATTACGCGTTGATCTGTATGGTGTCCTTGCTGGTTGTGCTAGCGAACCAAACTGTAGATATTACCGATGGTGAGGGTGTGACGGTGAGGGTGATGCATGGTCTGATGGATGATGACATACGATGTTATGAGCAGGAGCATTTTCAGTTTTTCAGTTCTGCCTAACTTTGCTTACATGCTCTTGCCTCTTGGACGAGTATGTCGATCGATTGCGGCCGACGACTGTTCTTGAATGGGCTTCCTATGCTCTTTCGCGGAGATGGCGGTTTGAGCGATGTTGTACTGCTGTTTCGCGGAGATGGCCGGCGGTGAAGGATTCTGAGCTCGACGATTGGTGGGCTTGCTGTGAATGGGAAACCAGATTCATCAGTGTACGCATCTTCTTATTGGAGTTTGCTGAGGTCAGAGGTGATGTTGGAATGTGGTCCGAGTCGGGGGTGCAGTCCTGGTGCTAGTTTTGTTTTCCTTGTTCTGAGTCCGAGTCGGTAAACATTAGCTAGCCTTGGTCGGATTGGATCCATAAAAGGCAAAGCATGGCCCCCGGGCCCCATGTAATCCAAGGCTCTGTTCGGCTGGATTATAAGCCGTTTGTGTTGATTTATATAGCTAATTTGTTAAGAGAGAAAAACATTATACCATGACTAATAAACCGACTTATGAGAGCAACCGGACATAGCCTCGAAGATAGAAAAAGGAAGGCTCTGCAGTGCGGACGCCGACCCTTGGGCGCCGGGTTAAGCTAGCCGACGCGTCGTGGATCCACGATCAGTCGAGCGGACACTGACCATCTCTGGTCACCTCGGCGGCCGGGCCGGTTGCGCCATGGGCGATCATATGCTCTTCAGCCTCATAATGGAGAGCGCAAGGCCCGCGAGGCACCAGCCATCACCTACGACCACGACGCTCTTCTTCAGGGTATGTATGTTTACATTCCACCACCCCTGTTTGGTCAAACTTTTTAAACACTAGCTAGCAATAGCTGTCGATAAAATTATACATTTATTAGATATTTTAATTATTTTCTAATACCGTTTTCAGGTATTGGTGCTTACCTGCATCATGGTGGTGGCTATCTGGGTGTATATAGCCACGGAGAATGACGAGGACAACGTTGCAAGGGTGCTCTGTTTTATTATGCTTGTGTTTTGTGCGGTGGCTACAATTGCAATCACAAGGTCTCCTCCTCCTCCTGCACAGCATGATGATGTCGATGCTTATTCGAGCGACGACATGGTGTAACTAGCTGGCTAGTAGGTTTAATTTCCAAGCTCCGGTACGGTGCTTCCTAAAAACAGTAATACCTTTTGTGTCATGCTGTATATTACCATTCTCTAGCTAGTTTCTTTGCCTTCCAATCTGAGTCCTAGCCATTGAATTCTGGGAATAATATGTTGAATTTGGTTCTTGTGATTATTGTTGGGGACGTTTCACGTTCGCAATGCATGCATGACACATAGGGCCTATTTGTTTGCTGGATGATTTTAGCTGGCTTGTATGAGCTCGACCAGGGTGAGAAGAGACCGACCTAGTAGGTATAACTTGCTGTGTTTGGTTCTATTTCTCTGCTGAGACAGGCTCGTTAGGGATCCTGTTTGTTTGGCTGCACAACTAGATACAGTCACCTTGGAGTAGCACAGGGTAGAGTTACCCCTGCTCTCATCATTTGGGCATATCATCGAACACCTGCACTACAGCTGCGCTGGTGGTGGTCGGAGCGCCGGAACAAACCACTCTACCCGCAGGGACCAACACCTCCACCTCACCGTGGACCCCTAGCACCCTGTCCGCCATCTCCCCATGGACACGGTGTCCATGCAGGCTGCGCCACGGAGCTCGAGCGTAAGGCGCTGCGGCCCTAGCGTTGCAGATACAAGGCGGCATCAGCAGCAAGTCAGCACCACGCCGCCGCCAGCTGCGAGCAGTGCAGCTCATGGGCCTGTCCCAAATTTCCATCCAGACAAACATTCACGCACGTGGATACTCCTAAATACACACACATTTGAGGGATGCCCTGTTGCGTAGGGTTTTTTTTTTATGCAGCACTAAAGTTTAAGAGGTGTTACATCGAATGTCACATGGGATGTCGCATGAGGTGTTCGGATACTAATAAAAAAATAAATTACAGAATCCGTCGGTAATCTGCGAGGCGAATTTATTAAGCCTAATTAATCATTCATTAGCACATGTTTACTGTAGCACCACGTTGTCAAATCATAGACTAATTAGGTTTAATAAATTCATCTCACAAATTAGTCTCAATCTATACATTTAATTTCGTAAATAATCTATATTTAATACTCCATAAGTATATCAAATATCTGATAAGCCAAGGAGGACCCAGAGCACGCTCGTCTGAGCAGCTAGCTAGTGGTAGCTGTGACTGTGATGATCGAGGTTGTGCGTTGATGTATGGCTGTCTGGCTGTCCATGCCATGTGACCGTGCGTACTACCCCTACTTGTATAAAAATGCGCTCGTGGTTGGGTCTCTGTTGGTTGGACTAGTAGTACATTAACACCTGTTAATCTCCAGCTTAGAATTCAGATTAGTCCGCTGGTTCCGGTTGGCTGGCATGGCCGCGTGGGCGATCATATATCGATCGAGGATATATAGTACGTACAAACAATGAGAGAATAAGCCGGCCGGCCGGTGGCCGCATGCACCTACCTCACCTCACCGGCGTCACGCGCGCTTTGACTTGGGATTACAGTTACAAATATACATTATTGGTATAGAAAATCTGCAAGCGCCACTTCTTTTGGACTATATATAATAGTAATTGCAAGCAAAGTAGCAGTTGCATGCAATGCGTTGAACACACGACGAAATTCTTGCACTTGCTGACTTGCATGGCACGAGCACACACGGACCACAGGCCGCCAAACCACCCCATATTTTCATGGCGCCATTCGTGTGTGGTATCGTATGCGACCTTTGCTATACAGTACTAGCCCATGTTTAGTTCCCCCAATTTCCAGAATTTGGCACTATGCAAAAAGAAGATTCCCCGTCACATCAAACTTGTGGTACATGCATGGAGTACTAAATGTTGACGAAATCAAAAACTAATTACATAGTTTGATTGTACTTTGCGAGACGAACGTTTTGAGCCTAATTAGTCAACGTTTGGACAATTATTACCAAATACAAACGAAATGCTACAGTAGCTACTTTTGCTACAGTAGATTTGGCGGCGCCAAATCAGGACGCAACTAAACGAGCCCCTAGTAGTACAGAACAGCTGTACCACGACGACACGGACCTGACAAAAGGGTGCAAATGCGCGTGGCCACGACCCACGAAGAGGGGGCAAAGAGAACATGAGCCCAGAGTCCCAAACACCCGACACAAATAATACTACCCCCATCCTAGAAAGTACTGTAGAAATGATACAAACTCTACATTCTGTCAAGAGTGAAACTAACTTAAATTTAACTGTTTCCATGGAGAAATATATCAACGTTTAAGAATTCAAATAGATATATGTTGTGAAAATATATTCCATGATAATGATAATTACTTAGCAATGACAACAACTAATATTTTTAATATAAATCTAATCAGAATTAAGATAGTTTGAAAGAAAATCATTTTAGAATATTATTTTGCTTCCATTAGTTTTAAATTATAAATCGCTTTGCTTTTCTAGGTACAATAACCTTGATGTAGGTTATATCTACTATCTAGATATATATATAGCAAAAAAAATTAAAAACTAAAATTACTCCCTCTATTAAGAAAAAACAATTTTAGCTTTAAATCTAGACAAAGTTAACCTATATTGTTGGAACAGAGGGGGTGCATTATGCTCCCTCCGTCCACGAAAGCATGTAATTCTAGCATGTTGCTTTTGTCCAAGGAAGCATACAATTCTAGCCTGTGCGTAGATAGTTTTGTAGGCCTGTAAAGTGACTTTTCTGAGATCTATTATAAAAATAATGAACCACCCACTCGTTGGCATGATCATATATCCACAGATTGCCCCCTCCTTGCCTCGTCTCCAATCCCCATGGCACGTTGCAGGCTTTTTATTGTGTCTTAACACCCCTAGGGGTACATGCAAAATTGTCCAAAGTTGTTGAGTTTGTCTCGTGATGGTAGAAGTGCTTCCTTTCACGGGCAGAGGGAATAACATTTATCCGTCCTGTTCGTTTGAACTTATTCAGAACTACTTTTCAGCTATGGAACAGTGTTTTTTTCTCACAACATTTCAGCGTCAACATAAGCCAATGATACAACAATCTTTGCAATATATAACATTTATCAACTGATCTCTACAGTTTTTATGTTCCTAGAATAATCCCAAAAGGAAAGGAATCTATCCTTTTTTTTACATACATGGTTAATACCTAAGACAAGATATCCCCGTACCTACAGTTTTCCTGTGTCTAGATTTCAACTGACTTCCGTGAGATGTACTATATGTACGATCGATTTTGGTGAAATTCCTTCATGAAACCATGCACACGCGATGGACCCATGAAGAGAGAGCGATCCTGGGCCATGGGCCCATGGCTAATGGCAGCCCAGGACAACTGGTAACCCAGGCTAAACGACCTTGTCAAACAGGAAATGCTAATTTTTTGGTTGGTTGGTTCCTGCTACTACCATCAGCACTTGAGCAGCCCAAAACGACCTTGTTTTTTCTTCAAGGCCAGAGGTAATACTGATACAAAAAGTCAGAGTAAGACCACAATATTGGTTTAGATCGCTTCAAAACTTGCCGAAATCATTGGTCGTTCTTCCCCAAACCTCAGCCATTTGACCCCGGATATCGTATATGTTCAACTAACCGACGCAGTGACGCACACCACAAACTTGTCACGCGCACGATATTCCGCTTCAAAACTGTGCTCCTGCGTAACAAAAAGTCACGCGCACGCAGCATGCAGGTGGAGGTCTGGTGGAGATATTCGTACACGCGTGCGGCGCGATTCCGACAAGTCAGCACCCACAATCCGCTGATGATTCTTGCAAGTTTGGCCTGAACATGACATTCTATTTCACCACAGGCGACTTCTGCTGTTCTTCTGTATCCAAACTTGTTGAACAAAGACGTAGTCACATGGAACGGAAGTAGTAGTTCTTCTGCCGGTGCTAGCGTCCAAGCGAAACGGCTAGCCAGCAGCCAGCGACTGACTGCTTCTCACTCCCCCAATGCAAGCATTGCAAGCAAGAACAAGAACCGGTCCGACCTTGCTTGTGCTGTGTGCATGCACGCATCGACGGTAATTAAAACGTTTCTTATTTGACTACCTGTCTACCTACTGATGTCCGGCCGGCCCCCGGTTTTCATCGTCAGCTGCGGTGCTTTCTCGGCCGTTTCGCTTTCGCTTTCACCCCGGTAAGTAGATCGAATAAACTGGACTTGACTCAGAATGGGTGCAAAGATTCTCATTGCAGTACTGTCTCTAGAACCGTGGAACGCAATGCAAGGACTGAAAACGCCACAAGTTTTGTCATGCGTACGTACTTTATACGTTACTAAAAATACATGAAACTAAGTAGAGAAAGGGAGGTAACGGTAATACTACGTCCGGTCAGAAAAAAGAGAGCGAGTATGTCATTATTAGATTAATAATGGAACATGTATTTATAGGAAACATATTTGGATACTAATAATATTGAGACTATTTTTTATAAACTTAATTAAGCTTGTTCAAATTCAAATATAGAATTGCACTCTTTTTTTTATCGACGGAGGGAGTACAATATTACATGCCGTATTACCGTTTTTTTCCTGGTTGTTTTGAAGACAAGAAGAGGTGTGGTAGGTAGCGCCATGTACATGTGAAGTACTGACCAGAGCATCTGATGAGCTATTTTCATTTTTGCTGAAAAACCATGGCTGAAAGTACTGTTCGTTGATGTTGTGAGAGAAAAAACACTGTTCATTCGTTGAAATAGTACGGCTCATAAAATAAGCGAACATGGCCAATATCTGTCCACGATTCCAGTGGGAGGAGCAGGAGAAATCCCAGCTTGGTACTCAACCGTGTGGCTGGCTGGCTGGCCGTGTGGACTGATACAAAAATCAGCTACTCGATCGGCTACTAAATTACATATTACCCATCTATTATATTATACTTTTTTAGGTTAGAAGCTTATTATCATCTCATATTACATTTTATTATAAATCTAACCAAGTTATATATTACAATAGTTAAGATCTATTAGTTAAGATAAACCGAACCGAAGGGAGCAGCACACTAAGGCCAGTCTCATTGGTGGGTTTCATTT